CGCCTCCTCCACTTCCGGCGACGGATACCTGCTCGGAGGTCGGCTCCCTGTCTGGCACACGACCCGGTGGCGCTCGCTCCTGCAGCTGCTGGAAAGGGGGGACCCCGGCGGAGCCGCGGGCTCCTGCACAGTCCGACCGCGCCAACGACATCGCATCGGCTTGATGCCGTCCTCCTCCTCCTCCTCCTCCTCCTCCTCCTCCTCCTCCTCCTCCTCCTCCTCTCCCTCCTGCAGTGTTTTGGGGGCACCCCGTGGTGCAAAAGGGGGCCTGTCCTCCCCGCCCCCCCCCCGGATCCTCCCTCGGTGCACCGCCCCCACGTGTTTCGCCCCACGAGCTCGATTACCAGCCTGTTTTTTTTGTCTTCCCCCCACTTCCCATATTGTCAAATATTTTCTGGGGGATCGACGATTAATTGTGTCTGTGTGTTTTTTCTCCTCCTGATTGACCCAGACCCCCTGGAGTAATGAAAGAATCCGCCGACCCCGTCAGCGTGTGTGAGGGGCTTGTCCGTTCAAGTCGTCATCTCCCTCATTTGTTGGTCGTCGTCTCTGTCGTCCCCTTTCCCTGCCCCCCCCCTTCCCTGGGCTCGTCGAAGCTCCCCCCTTTCCCAGGGACCTCCTCAGCGCGCCAACCAAAGCGAAATTGAGCAATGTCGTAGTTGAGTCGAAGGGAAGCCCCTTCCCTTCGATCCCTGGGGGGTCCCGGAGGGGGGTCCCGGGAGGGGTCCTGCAACATGGGGAGGGGTCCCGGGGGGGGTCCCGAGGGGGGGGGTGTCAGATACGACGCCTCCCCGGGGTCCCAGAGCCCCAAAAAGCCACAAGACGGGCCAAGAGTGCCCCAAGAGGCTCCAAAGACAGTCTAAGAGAACCCCGTATCGCCGAACGATCTGTCCAAGACGCCTTGACGGCCTCCAGACGGCCCGAGAGGCCTGCAAAGCGCCCCGAGAGGCCTCCAGGAGCTTTCCCACGAGAGCCCCAAGAGGCAACATTCATGGATTCCCCATGGTGTTCTTGCCTCTTCCGCTTCCTGACGCGCCAAGACGGCCCAAGAGGCCCCCAAGATCGCCCCGAGACGGCCCAAGGGGCCCCCGAGAGGGTCCCCTAACGGCGGAAGAGGGCCCCAAGACGGCCCAAGACGCCTCCAAGACGACCCAAGAAGCCCCCAATATTGCCCCAAGACAGCCCAGGAGAGCCCCGAATTGCCCAGGAGGCCTCCAAGAGTGCCTCGAGACGGCGCACGACGGCCTCAAGAGAGCCCCAGGCTGTCCCAAGAAAGCCTCTGGCCTCCTCCTCCTCCTCCTCCTCCGCCTCCGCCTCCTCCTCCTCCTCCTCCTCCTCCTCCTCCTCCTCCTCCTCCCCCCCTCCTCCCCCTGCTCCTCCTCCACATCCTTCCTCCTCCCCCCTCTGCCCCGCACTCCTCCCGCTCTCCTCTGCCCCCTCCTCCTCCCGATACACAGCCTTCCTCCCCCCTCTTCCTCCTCCCACCTCCTCCACCCTTCCTCCACCTCCTCCCCCTTCCCTCCCTCCACCTCCTCTCCCTCCTTCCTCCTCCACCCTTCCTCCACCCTTCCTCCTCCCCCACCTCCTCCCCCTTCCTCCTCCCTCCACCTCCCTCCGCCCTTCCTCCGCCCTCCCACTCACCCTTCCTCCCCCTGCGCCCCCCCCCTCGTTTTCATCATATCTTCGTCGCCCTCTCGGGGTCGGCGGCACCGGCCACAAATGCCTTCGCAGTCACGACGGAAGGTTCTTCTGAATTTTCGGTCTCTGGGGCCCTGAGGTCTCTGAGGTTTTTCTGAATTTTCGGTCTCTGAGGTTTTTCTGAATTTTCGGTCTCTCGGCCTCGGGAGCGTCAGACAGCGACTCGGGATGCAAAGCCGGCCGGTCATGGGGAAAGGGTCGGGACCTCTGGGGGTCGACGTAACGAAAAAATCATTACGTCGGGGGTCTGGGAAGACGGCACCGCATTGGATGGACCCCACACGACAGCACATGGATTGGGCTCCAAACGTCGCACCCCATGAGCCGCACTCCACATAGTGCATTCCGTAGCTCGCACCCCGTAGACTGCACCCACATGGATTCTTTCCAACAGTTGACTGTATGGCGCAACGGTGTTGGGCCCTGTTCATCTGCCATGAGATGCGGCGCTCGACGTGCTCGGAGATCCCTCAGATATCGGTTTTGCTTTCCAGTGCTCTGGCCCCCTCCAAGTGATGCATTTACTGGTTATGCATGTATCTAGATACGTGTGCATGTATGCATGCATGCATATATATATATATACGTACGTAAGCACACAAACATACATACATACATGCATGCATACATACATACATGCATACACATACTAACATACATGCATACGTACACGCATGCATGCATACATTCACGCATGCATACATACATGCAGGCATACATACACATATGTGCATGCACCCATGCATAACAACATACATGCATACATGCATACACACCTTTGTTCGTTTATACGTACAAGCAAGCATACATACTTGCACACATATATACACACACGCGCACGCATCCATACATACATCCATACGTACGTACATGCACACATACATACATGCATACATACACACATACGTAAACACATACACGCATACATACATCAAATGCATACACCAATACATACAATCATGCATACATGCATACATATACAGATGTGCATGCGCACATCCATACATACATACCTACCTACCTACATACATACATACATACATACGTGCATGCATACACATACGTACACCCATACATACATACACAGAGACAGGCACATGCACACGTACATGCGTACATGCATACGTACGTACGTGCACACATACATGCTTACACACATACATACACACATGCGTGCATACACACATACATACAGATTGGCATCCATACATACACGCAAGCATGCAGACGCATAGTCATACATACATACATGCATACATGCACGTACACATACATACACGCCTACACACCTACGTGCATGCATACATACATACATACATACAAGCAAACAAACAAACAAACAAACAAACAAACACACAAACATACATACGTGCATACGTACATGCACACACGCAAACGTACATGCGTGCCTACATGCATGCACGCTTACATACGTACATCTAGAGGTGCTGGTATACATGTACATGTGTACATCTGCATCGATCTCTATGTTTATATATATATATATACACATGTGCGCGTGTCCGCCACAATGTGCTTGTTTGGACGCCCGAAATGGGTACGGAAAGAATGGGCACAATGCCCAACAGCAAATGTTGCCCCGAACCAACAGCGGCCGCTGTTGGGCAGGCGGCCTTCTGTCTCAAATGACCACAGGCCGCGGCGGCGTGGACAGCGAACCCTGTTCGAAATGAACAGGAACTGCCGTGGGGCGTTGTGCCCATTCTTTCTGTGCCCATGTCGGGCGTCCAGAGCTCGAGGCCCGAGTCGGGGTGCCCTCAGGCTCCCGGTCGGATGCCCTGGCAGCCTCGGCCCTCCCTCCCCGAGGACTCCTCTGGAGGGACCCCGCGCGCCCCCAGCTGCTGCCGAGCCTCTCCCGGGGGCGCGCCGCGTGGCCCCCTCGGGGGCTTCCCCAGCGCCTTCTGTCAGCCACGCGCAGAGGGGGGGAGGAGGAGGAGGAGGAGGAGGAGGAGGAGGAGGAGGAGGAGGAGGAGGAGGAGGAGGAGGAGGAGGAGGAGGGGCGAGATCAGTCAGCCACGCGCACACGGGGGTGGGGGGAGGGCCTCTTAGAAACACCCCTGCTTCTTGGAGGGCGTGGGCCTTATCTCTACGGTCGAGGCGTCGACCTAAGGAACCCTACATGAGGAGCGAGGCCCCTTTTTTCCATGAGTTAAACTTCGATGTCCCTTCGAAAACCTAAGGAACACCTGAAGCAAGCTGCAAAACAACTAAGGAACACTGAGCCCCTCCCCAACGAAAAGGGTTCCTTCTTCAGGGCCCCGACTGTAGGTGTAAGGCCGGCGCCTTCTAAGAAGCAGCCTGCTTCTAAGAGGCCCTCCCCCCTCCCCCCACCCCCCTCTGCGCGCTGCCGGTTATGCCCTTTTTGTTCGGACCCGGGAGGGCTCCGACACGGGCGACGAGGGTCCCGAGAGGCCGCCGAGGCGGCGCCAGAGGGCCCCGAGTCGCCAATCGATCGGTCCTGGACATTTGCCTCCTGTCGGCCGAAATGGCGCCCAGGACGTCCCAAGAGGCCTCCGAGAGACTTCCCAAGAGGGCCCCGAAAGGCTCAGATCGTTGCTTTTCCTCTGGTTTTTCAATGTGTTTGGCTTTCTCGCCGTTTCGGCTTCTCGACGCTTCAACACGCCTCACGAGGCCTCCCATATCGCCCCAAGACGGCCCAAGAGGCCTTCTGGAGGGCTACAACACGGCCCCAGAGGGCCCCAAGATGGCCCAAGAGGCGCCCAAGAGGCCCCAAGACGGCTCCAAGAGGGGGAGGAGGGGGAGGGGGAGGGGGAGGAGGAGGAGGAGGAGGAGGAGGAGGAGGAGGAGGAGGAGGAGGAGGAGGAGGAGGAGGAGGAGGAGGAGGAGGAGGAGAGGAAGGAGGAGGAGGAAGGAGGAGGAGGAAGTGGAGGGGGCCCAGATGGGGTACGCGAACGGACATTTCGAGCTCCCAGCCCCGGAAGGCCCTCCAGAGGCCACAGCCAAGAGGCCCCCGAGAGGCCCCTGGCCCCCAGGAAACCCCCAGGAGGGAGGCCCCAAGAGGCCCCCAAGAGGTCTCCCGAGAGGCCCCCGAATGGGCCTCCAAGAGGCTCAAAAGTGCAGGTCCAAAAACTGTCCCCAAGAGGCGATCCGGAGAGACCCCAAGAAGCACCCGTGAGGATTCTGACCCACAATGCAATCGCTGCGGCGGGATGGGCCGAATACCATTAGATATACGACGATCAGCTCAATGACTGCGGGCATCTCTGCAACTCGGCTCGACAGCATACGTGCGCCAACACAGAGGGAAAGAGGCCATGCACCAGGAACTGATGCCCGATCGGCATGCCCGCGAACTTTGACGAAGCCGCGAAATGTTCTCCAGCCTTGGTCTTCCCGCGCGGGTGCACACCAGAGCAAACCAAAAGGCAGCCCGTGAATACACCAACGGCCACACTCACTTGACAGGATCCAAAGACCGTGCCGCGAGGCACTGAGCGAAGTGTCTTCCGGTCGAGCCCCCAGCATTTAATATCCCTGAGATCCTGGCGTTGCAATTTTTTCACACCAGCCGTGTTCGCTCCATTTCGGGCCCCAGGACCCTCACATACCGATCCGGCTCGAAAAACGACGCAGAAATATTGGGTCCAGGGCTTCAGTCGTGCCTCCTTGCGACGTTGCATTTTTTCTTTTGCAACGTCGGACCTCAGGGATTGCAAGACTCTTAGGAAGTCCCCGTAATCTTCTTTCCTGGGTAACGGTCGTTACCAGGGGGGGGTGGTGATTCGGGCGGGAGGGCAACGGTAACGGCGGCCGCGGCGTGCACCCAGGAGGGTGCGTCCACGCCACCGGCGCATCGATCGCCTGGCGCGCACCACAACATGCATGGGGGGTCCAGGCCTGGCCTTCACCCCCAGTACGATGGTTAGCGTTACCCGGGAGGGGGGGGGGGCAGGGTAACGAGCGTTATCCCGGGGAGGACAAACAAAAACGCTCACCTCACGGGACCCCGCCCTGCTCCCCCAACGTGTGTTAAGAAGGCCCCAAGGTAAGATGAAACCAGAACGAAGATTACATCGGATGATGATGAACCGAGCATCTCTGAGATCCGGCGGCTCTGCGTGGATAGCGAAGATTTGGCTGCGTGGCTCCTCGTTGGCTAGGCGAGCGTGACGCGACAACGCGACCCACGCGTGTATCTGGATCAGACTTGGTAGCATCATCACCACTGTCACCACCAACCTATCATGAGACATCGTTATCGCACCGCCGCCAATATAGAAATCGTCACCTCGCCATCACCCTCATCTTCGCCATCCTCGTCATCATCATCATCAGCATCATCATCAGCATCATCATCATCCTCATCCTCATCCTCATCCTCATCCTCATCCTCATCAGCATCAGCATCAGCATCAGCATCAGCATCAGCATCGTCATCGTCATCGTCATCATCATCATCATCATCATCATCATCATCATCATCATCATCATCATCATCATCATCATCATCATCATCATCATCATCATCACCTGTTTCGTCAAGACCATCCTCTCCTATTGTTTACGTTCGGCAAACATCAACGGCAGGGCTGTTGCGTTTCGGCAGTAAGAAAATTAAGTCCGACTGGGGCGCAACAGACAGTACCAGGACCACGGCACGCAGCGGCGAAACTGAAGGCAACGACACACTGAACAGTATGGTAGCTTCTGGGGCTCGAAGCATGCGTCCCGAAGTCCGCGAGAAGGGTGATGGAGGTGACTACGATCTGCACGGGGAAATCCCCACTGCCGCCCCCATTCTCATGATCTCTGAGGGCAGGACCTGCTTCGACTCCAGGGGCTGCTGCGGGTCCACGAACTGGCCTGACCGTCTGCCGGCCGAGCCCTCCCGCCTCCCCCAGGTCAGGACGGGGAGAAGGCAGTGAGGCGAGGAGGAGAGGAGGGGAGGAGAGGAGACCAAGGAGTAGAAGAGAAGAGGGGGAGGAGGAAGGGAGGACAGGAAGAGAAGCCCCGACGTGCGCGCTGAGAGGCCGAATGGGACGGCCACCGCACGCCAGCGACATGGCCGGTACTTTCGTCCGACAGCCTCCACCAGCACCAGGTCGCAAGCTCAATCGCCCCCCTTTCCGTTGTCCACCCCATGTCCACAAGACGGCACGACGGCGCGACTCGCCACATCGAAGCGTTGCTCCAGGGGTGGGGCAGTGATTTGTGCAAAGGTAGCATTCTGCATCACCTCCTCGTCCACCTCCACCTCCTCCTCCACCTCCTCCTCCTCTTCCTCTTCCTCCCGCTCCTGCTTCCACTTCTCCGAGGTGGGGGATTCCGCACGGATGTGTGTCCGCTCGCACCAACCAGGTCCCTCTCATGACGCGGTGTTCACGCTGAGATACCCTGGCTCGCCAGGGCTCGTCGCTGCGTGCCACATCTCTTTCTAGCTCGATCTGGTCCCTATTGCTTGCAACAGCCAACACGCAAAGCTGGAGCCCTCCAAAAGACCAGGTGAAGGACCCCAGAAAAGGAATACGGTAGGTACGACGTGGATGCAGGCGCAGCCGGAAGGGCTGGTGGCGGCGACTGGCGGCTGGTAGACATCAATGTCGGCGACCGATGCTGGCAGAAGTCAGGTCTAATGAGGCGAACTGTTCGGGGCTGCGCAGTCGAGGCTGGTGTCTGGGATCGGTACTGGAGGCATGAAGGGCTGCCGGGCCTCGTGGGTGATGGTCTGGGGCCGGCGTGGGTGGCAATGATGGGTGATGGGGGCACGCGTGGGGGCTTGTGTCGGGAACCAGCGCTGGCGGCAATCAGAGCTGATTGGGGAAAACGTGCTGTCGGCGGGGAGCGACATCCGCAATCGGGACTGGTGGGACTGCGTGTGAACTCACTGAAAGAATGCCGGGAATTAACTTGGGCGCCCGAATTGGGTAACTCGGGCCCGGGGCAACTCGGGTTCGGATTCCCGAAAAACGAACCCGAAAGAGCCCTGACCCGAGTTCCCCCTGATGATTTGGGGCTCTGGACGCCCGAATTATCCGGGGTAACTCGGGCCCGGGGCAACTCGGGTTCGGATTCCCGAAAAACGAACCCGAGTTAGCCCTGACCCCAGTTACCCCTGATGATTCGGGTCTCTGAATTAACGTCAGCGGAAATCAGGACAACGGTGGCTAGTGGGGGCTCGTCGGGGTCCCGGCAACCAGGACTATAGTGTGGCCAGTGTGGGCTAGTCGGGGCGAGCATTCGAGACCGGCGCTCGCGGCCATATCAGTGTCAGTGGAGCTGGTGGAGGCTACCGCAGGCCACCGGGTAGCGGGAGGAAGCAGCGTTGGTGGCAACGGTGAACCAGGAGAGGTGGACCAGTGCTGGGAGCCGGCGTTGGCAGCGCTCAGGGAAGGTGAGGCAAGGGGAAGCTACGCAGCAGGGACTGGTACCGGGGAGAAGCGTTGGCAGCAATCATGGTAAAAACAGTGCCTGTGAGGGCTGGCAAAGGCCACTGAAAACTGAAAAGAACGACGCTGGCGCCAACGCGGGCTACTGAGGCGAGTCAGACGCCTAGCAAATGCTACAAATAGATGGACAGGGCTCAAAGACTGGAACCCTCAGGGCAAGTGAAGGTAAGGAGCGCATCGCCCCGACACCTTCTTGTGGAGTGGGGAGGATAAGCAGGGAGTGTGGGAGGCGAGGGAAGGAAGGGGGGAGGGGAAGGGGGCCGCGGGAACGGGAAGCATGTGCAGGCAGGGAGAGGGCTGGCCCCCCGCCTGAGGGCCCAGGCGTGCGTCGCCCTGCTGCGTTCCCTGCGCAGCCCCCAGGAAACTCGACAGTTCCCCCGGGGCCAGCCCTTCCTCGCGAGTCCTTCTTTGACGGTCCCGGGGCCCAGCGAGGGTCCTTTGGAAGCTGAACACCGAGGAACAAACACCTCCACGATGTGTTCTCTCGTCTTTCGCGACGCGAGCGTGCCTGGGCCTCATGTTCCGTTGAGGGGCGGAGGGGGGCGAGGAGGAGGGGGAACTGACCGCAGGGAGGCGGCACTGCACTCGGACGGGCCTCCCTCCCCCGCGCGTGCTGGTCGGGGGCGCGCAAACGTGGGCCAGCGATCCATGGATTTGGTGCGCGGTCGCCTGATCCATGGATCGGGGGAGGTGCCCTCCCCCACATGCGGCCGGTGCCGCCTCGCTCGGCGGCGGAAATCCGCGGTTTCCCATGGAGACGGGCCCCGTCGCTGATCTACGCCCTCTTGATCCACGATTGCGATCGCCTGTGCTGGACTCTCGCCTGCGGCCGCCCCCCGCCTCCCTCGAGGAGGAGGAGGGGAGGAGGAGAAGGCGGAGGAGGAGGAGGAGGCGGACGACGAGGAGGAGGAGGAGGAGGAGGAGGAGGAGGAGAAGGAGGGGGAGGAGGAGGAGGAGGAGGAGGAGGAGGAGGAGGGAGGAGGAGGAGGAGGAGGAGGAGGAGGGGGAGGACTCCCCCCCTCGTGCCGCCGGACAGTGCGCACGCCACGCGGGCGCGCGTGCAGATCGCCCCTGCCTCGCGCCGCGGCGGCCAAATGCCGGCTCCTCGTGCGGGGCGCGCGCTGCCGCGCACGTCCCTCGCGCGCCCGCGCGCCCGCCCGCCAAACATTTGGACGCCCGAAATGGGTACGGAAAGAATCGGTACAATGCCCGACAGCAGTTCTTGGTCATTTTGAACAGGACTCGCTGTCGGTCTCGCCGCGGCCTGTGTACATTTGAGACAGAGGGCCGCCTGCCCAACAGCGGCCGCTGTTGGTTTGGGGCAACATTTGTTGTTGGGCTTTGTGCCCATTCTTCCCGTGCCCATTTCGGGCGTCCAGAAAACAGGCCCGGGTCGGGCTCCGACGGGGCGGGCCCGGGTGGCCGCGGCCAGGCTCAGGGCCGGCACGTCCCCCCTACAGGGGAATGTTGGACGAACAATGTTCCAACAGACCCCCAGCACACTCAACAAGCTTCAGACACATACTCAAAAAAGGTTCCTGGACTTTTTTTTTCGGTATGTGTTTTTGTTGTTGTTTCTGTTCATTTTTGAACATTCCTCATGTAGAGGGACGGGCACGCCTTACGGCCAAGAGCTGCTGGCGAGAGCCTGTGGCCCCGACGCACCTGCGTCGTGGAAAACCAGACCTTGCCACGAGCCCCGACCGCGGGAGGCAAGGGGGCGTGACCTGCGAGGAAGAGAACACACGAATGAGAGGATGCCTACTACAGTCGGGGCGTTGACCTAAGGAACCCTAAATAAGGAACGAGGCCCCTTTTTCCCATGAGATAAACTTTGATTTCCCATGGGAACCCTAAGGAAAACCCAAGGCAAACTGTAAAACAATCAAGGAACGCCGAGCCCCTCCCCAACGAAAAGGGTTCCTTCTTGAGCGCCCCGACTGTAAGGCACATACTGCTGATTCCCGTGTTGTCCGTTTGACGCTGTGCCACTTTAAGGCGAATGATGCTGGTTCCCGTGTGGTCCGTTTGACGCTGTGCGACTTTGTCGGGGCGTCTTCGACCATCTTGTCAACAGGGCAGTCTTCGGGCCCTGGGGCGTCTCCGACCATATCGGGGCCCTCTCAGGCAGTCTTGGGGCCCTCTTTAGGGCCTCTGGAGGCTTCCTGGAGACTTCTTGGAGTTTTTTATTTATTTATTTTTTGTTTTTTTGCTTTCTTTTCAGCGCGGCCACTGGCTCTGAGCATGCGGGCGCTGCTGCGACCTCGCCGCGGTCATCCTCCCAGGGTCGTGCCACGGAGTGGCGGTGGCAAGTCTGACGCACCCTGTGTGCGGCACCCTTTTTCTGCCCCCCTCCTCCCCCCGCTTTCCACCTGCATCTGGGACCGCTATTCCCCCTGATCCGCTGGGCCTACCTGATCCGGACCGTCCGGGCTCCATGCTCGGCAGGGCGGCGTCCGCGTCCTCCTCCCTCCTCCTTCTTTCAACTGGTATTGGGACCGTTAGTCCCTCCTGATCCCAAAGGGTGCCCTGATCCACCCGGCCACGTGCTACTTCTGGCGCGGGGGCTGGCTCGCTGGGCTGGCCTTTCTCCGTCCTGCCCACTTCTCCCGCCCCCCCGCTCGCTACCCCCCCTCCCATGGCGACAGCGCCCGGCACTGCGCGGCTCCGGCCCGGTGCCGGGCGCCTGCTCCTTGCCGCCTCGGCGGCCCCGCTGATCCTGGCGCTGCGCGGCTCAGGCCCGGCCCTTGACACTGCGGATCGGCAGCGCATCGTGTGTGGCTTCCGCCCGTCCTCACGCGCTTGCCGGTGCAGGGCAGACTTTCTCCCTGCAGCACACCGGCATCCTGTCGGTCATCGGCGGCAAGTTCACGGTTCGCCTGGCTGCCGCGCCTCAGGCTGCGGGTCCCCAAGTCCGTGGATTGGACTACCACGGCTGGTACTCCTGACATCACTGTGGTGGCACAACGTTGCACTCCAACTCAGTAGTGCTCTTCTTCCTCTCGGTCTTCGACCTGGTGATGTGGCGCATCCTCTCCCGCAGTTTGCGAAGCTGGTGTTCTCGAAGCGCCGCTGACGGCTCCACCGCCGGCTTTCTTCCTCCCGGGACTTCGCCACCGGGCTCCTGTCCAAGGTGTACCTTTTCCTGCGCGTCCACTTCGGCACCGCCTGATCCCTGGGCTTCGCCCGCTCCTGGCCGTGTGAGGCCCCGCCTTCTTCCGCCCTTTCTCTGCTAATTAAAGCTGTGCGCGTCCCGCTTAGCTTTCAGCGGAAGAGGTTCGCTCTCGCCCTGCAAATCAAAAAGCGGCACCCTTTCCAATAGAGCAACGACCAAGGTCCACACGCCTGGCACACAAGTGCAGTACGTTTATATATCCTAGCTTGATGCCCGCGGGAAATCGCGGACGGAAAGCCAGCAGAGGCGTTGGGCACACCGAAAGTGGGATGCGGGATTGAGAAATGCATTGCGATGGATGGACCTTGCCCGTGCGAGCGGAAGAACCGACTCGAGTGAGAAGGCTCGAAGACGCACTTAAGAGCACCCACAGATGAAGCTGAAGCCGAAGCCAAAAGCTGAAGTGCACCAGAAGGGGAAAGGGCGCAACCTGCAGGCTCGACTCACATCATCGAGCGGTGCTGACGCCTTCTCTAAGCACAGGACCACCCTGGAGCAGCAAACTATACACATCGGGCTTAAACCCCCTTGCCTTGCCGAACTCCAGGCGCCTTTCGGCACGGCCACTGCCGTCGCCGCGCCCTCGTCAAGGCCGCAGACTCGGATGCCGGCGACAATGACAGTGGCTGCGGTTGACGCTGCCAAAGCTGGCGCCGTGCAGCGCCATTCTTCGAGAAATCATGAAGGGGCCCACAGACACACAAATAAATACACACAAATAAAATGATTCCCCATATGTTCACATATTTTCTCGGTTTTTGTCTTCCCCCCCACTTCCCATAGTTTCCCATATTTTCTGGGAAATCGACGATTAATTGTGTCTGTGTGTTTTTCCCCTCCTGAGAGGGGGGGACAATCGCGCGCGGGCATCTGTGGCCCTGCCTAGCCACACGACGCGGTTGCCTCGAAGGGCAGGCGATGCCGACTGGGCCTCTTGCTCCTCCTCCTCTTCCTCCTCCTCCTCCTCCTCCTCCTCCTCCTCCCCCTCCCCCTCCCCTTCCTCCTCCTCCTCCTGCTCCTCCTCCTCCTCCTTATCCTCCTTCTCCTCCTCCTCCTCCTCTTCCTCCTCCTCCTCCCCTCCTCCTCCTCCTTGGCACGACATGGAGCACCCTAAGGCTCACAACTGTGCTGCTGCTGCTGCAACCAACATAGGGATGCTGCAAACATATATCTTGTGGTGACGCTGCTGCTGCTGCTGATTGTCGTCTATATTCCTCACGGCTGCTAGCTAGGAAGGGCCATCAACATCCTGCTTTGACGCAATGCTGGGCTTAGCGACGACGGCAACTGTACTCACGTTTGACGGCACCGCACAACCCTGACTCGTGCTAAACACGTCATCGCGTCACGGTCTGCGCGCCAATCAAAACACCCTCGAGAACTCTTGTGTGTTTCGGATGCATCTTTTGTTGGGCTCGCCGGGATCGATCACGTCCCTACAGGTGGCTGTGCTGGAGCCGCAGTAAATAAAACAACCCGAACGACGATATAGCTGACCGACGCATCTCTGGCTGGCAATTCCTCCAGCATCGCATCCGAAAGCGTTTCAAGGTCCACATCCAAATTTGATAATTGATCGCGGAGAGAGGGGCTCTGGAAGAGCTGCGCTAACTTGCTCTCGGTGACAATTCAGAATTTCATTTTTAACTGCATCCAGTTGATAAAGGGCATCCCCAAGTTGCTTTTCCATGGCAAGCTTAACGCGTTGGTCTTTCAATATGGCATTGACAGCATTCGTCTGCCTCGGTGTCCCCCAGCAGCAGCGTGAAAGTTATGCCGAACACATAAATGACACCAATTAGCATAAACAAACTCGTGGCCACCGCTCGCGAACCGAGCACCATCCCCTCCACGAAGGTCAGGAGCTCCGGCATGACCTCCCACACCTTGCGAGCGCGGGCGAAACGCAGGACCCGCGCGACGCGAATCACTCGTAGAGAAAACCACTGATTGGCGAATCCAAATTCATGCGTACGACCTGCGTAGATGTCCTCAAATATCACCTTCACCACGCCGTCCAAACCGTGATAAACACCAAGAACATGTCCAGCAAAAAGTCCGGACACTGTAAGATAACCCATTTCTGTCTGAGGCCCCCGAGACGGACAGCTATCTCCAGTGTGAAGAAAACGCACAGCGTCTGGTCGACGATTTCGAACACAACAGAGGCATGGAATCCATCTGCCTCCTTCTTTTAGTCCGTCTCTACCGTGATCCACAGTAGTAAGCTGGACAGCACCGCGACCAAAGAGGGCGCGCGACAAAATGGGTGCACTGCCACCTCGACGCACCACCCGTAGTCCTTGTACGTGATCTCCTCCCAGGACGCCGGCTCGTGGTTCCGGGGGCGCGGCGCGGAAAGGGCTTTCGATGCCTGCCTCAACTGGCCCTCCTCCGAATCCTGCGACCTCCTCCGCGCGGGCAGCAGCGGCTCCGCAGCGGCTCTCTTGCGCGGGCCGCCCTCTTCACCGTGACCGTCCTGCAAAACAAAAAAATGAGCGCGCGCAGGCCGCGCGCTCGGCCTTCGACCCCGCGGGGCCTCCGCCCGCGCGCTTGCCGCCCCTGCCGGCTCCCAGCGCCGTCGGTCTGTCGGCGTCTGCCGCGGTGGGGTTCGGCCGTTTCACAAGGGGGCGGATCTTCGGGCACCGCAGTGTGTCGCCGAGGGCTCCTCGCGCCTTCGCTCCTCGCATGCGCGCGGGCAGGTGCGGAGCACCGTGCGAGCGGGAATCGCGGAGCCATAGATGGGAGTTGGCGACCCTCGCGCTCAGAGCGACGATGTGCCTGGCAGCTTCCACCCTGCTGCCCGCGAAGGTCCGCGAAGGTCTGGGTAACTGTCTTGGTCGCTGTGACATGCCACCCTCTTGCGCATCCTGTCCCGAGGCGAGGCCTGCGGGCTGCTGTGGCCAGCTGTGGGCTCCTCGGCGCTGCTGCCAGAGGGGCCAGTCATCAGAGGGCACGGCGCAGAGGGTGGCAGCGGCGCTGCTGGTGTTACCGTCGGGGCGTTGACCTAAGGAACCCTAAATAAGGAACGAGCCCCCTTTTGCCCACAAGTTAAACTTCGATTTCCAGTGGAAAACGTCAGGAAAACCGAAGGCAAACTGCAGAACAATCAAGGAACGCGGAGCCCCTCCCCAACGGAAAGGGTTCCTTCTTCAGGGCCCCGACTGTAGAGGGTGGCAGCGGCGCTGCTGGTGTCACAGCGGCAAGCGTGGAAACAGGAGGCCAGGCGCCGCCGTGTGCTGGCCGATGCGGCGTCGCCGCTGCGTGGCTCGAGGCTGGCGTCCTGGGAAGCGCCAGTGCTGGCCCGGGGCCACGAGCTGGCTGCCAACATGGCTCGTACGCCAGTGCGGATGGCGTCTGCGGTGAGTTCTGTGAGCGGAGGGGAGGGTGCGGCACTGGCCAGCTGGATTGCGCCAACTACCTCTCTCACTTGCGTTGCACCGCTTGAGCCAAAATGGTCTCGGAAGACCTCTTGGAGGCCTCTTGGGGCCTGCCTCTTGGGCAGTCTTGGAGCTTTGGGAGGCCGATAAGGCCACAACGTGAAAGACCTTCAAACACATAGCAAAAAGCCATGAAGTTTGACACTTGGAACTCTCTTAGGGGGCGTCTCCAAGGCCTCCTGGGGCGGCTTGGTGACTTCCGGGCCCGTCAGGAAGCCATCTTGGACGGCCTGGATTGACCTGCTGACGACTCGTGGCCCTCTTGAACCATCTTGCGGACCATCTTGGGGCCGCCCGTGCCGCACGGAAGCGCGTCTGCCGAAATGGGGCCGTCTTCCGCCGGCTTCTGTCGCGGAAAGGAAGTGTTTGGCCGTTTTCGGCCTCCTCCTCACTCCACTCCTCCCCCAATGGAACACCCAAACATCATCGCGTCATGAAAAGTTCAGGACGGGGAGCTCTTCCTAATTCTCGGCTTCTGGGGGCCCGTGTCGGGCCTCGCGACCGTCAACAAAACGACTCAGGATGAACAATCGATCCCCAGGAACGGGTCGGGACTTCCGGGGACCGCGCATTGAACAAATCAAGACGTCGCATGTCTGGGGGGCAGAGGCATCGACACGATGCGCTGCCCACGACTGCGGGCTCCGTCAAGCCGTGCGCTCTGTAACGTTCTCTCTGTCTCGGTCTTAGTTCTGGCCTTGCCTCTGTCTCTGTATCCGTTTCCGTCTCTCCCTATCTGTTTCTCTCTCTCTCTCTCTCTATTTGTGTTATTCCTCTCTCTCTCTCTCTCTTTATGTGTTCTCTCTCTCTCTCTCTCTCGTTCCGTTTCTTCCTCTGTGCATCTCAAGAAGTTTGTTTTTGCCTTGGGGCAAGATGTGGATCGACGCGCCGCTCCACGTTTCAGGTGGCCCAGGAGATCGCCGAAGGGCACATCCGTTGCAGCCGACGTCTTGCGCAAAGCCCTTGCTGTACACTTTCCGAGTCGAGGAACACGGAGCGGGGGCGGCCAAGAGGGGGTTGTCCAAGAGGAGGGGGTGCAAATCATGACCGGCGGCATGTGCGCGGCCCAGCGGGGGGGCCAGGGACGTAATGAAATAATTAGAGGCGCCATGAAATCTGGGGAGATATCATGGCCCACGCCATGATATCCCCCCCCCCCTCGTCATCACCCCCCTCTCTTACGCCCCCGAAACACGGAGCGGGGGCAGGGATGAAAAGGGGTGGGAGGGCAGCGGATGACATGCCTGCCTGACATCCCGAAGCACCAGGAGGCCAGCACGCGGGCGGGGCAGGCGGGCCCATCATGTGGACCTTGCTCGGGTCGTACGACATGTACGAGTTGACGACCTCGCCAGGGGTAACATGGGAGGCACAGGGACATACTAGTGCTATATCCTCCTTGGAGGCGCGCGTCCGACCCGAACATATAGTATACCCGTCTTGTAGTCTATCGTTTCCCGAGCGCCAGACAGCGCCCGCCACAACGCATATCCTAGATGATTTCTCGGTGCGCGCGTCGCCCCTGGGGGGGCGACGCACTTGTAAGTATGTTGGGATGACGCCGAGTAAAAAAAAAAAAAAACGAGAGACCTCGAGTGCGAGATGCCTGCGGCCCGCAAGACCACACCTTTCCAGGGTCCATCCTGGCCAGCGAAACCCTCCCAAGTCAGTTCTGCGAAACCGCCGGGACCGAAAACGGCCCCCATGGAAGCCATAATGTGGCGAGAAGGGCACCTCTCGCGCATCGACGATTGCACAATAGGAGTTCTGCCCTCCTCTCTCCCCTGGCAGTGTGCCAGCGGGGCTCCCGCCCCTGTCGCGTATTGCCTCTTCGCGCAAAAGCTCTCAACCACTGATCTGTCGTATGTTTATTCGAGTCTATGCGTGGACATATGTCCACATAGGTGTGCACGTGTACACGTGTATGCATGTGGCCGTATGCCAGTGAGAACGTGAAATCCTCCTCCTGCGTCTCGTGAACCTGCCCCTGTTCCCCCCTCCTTGTCCTCCAATGTTCATGGGTCAAGTCCTGCCGTGGATCGCGCCCCCCCCCCCCCCCCCGAACACCCCAGAGCCGTGCCCTACGACGGGCTGGGGACCACCCGCCCTATGAGGGGAAGACCTTCCCTCCGCAACTGGGCAGGGCGGGCATCACGGGCGGCCAGGACGTCCACGATGGCCGCAGGGAGAAACCCACATCGTTTACTCCGTGGCCAAATCGTGGACTTGCCATCATTCGGGGATCGGGGTGCTTGATTTTTTGTGTCAGGCTCCGCGAACGACGAAAACCGCCGGCTTCCCAACTGATGGGAAAGGGACTCTATTGGAGGCCTGGAAATGGCCACCGGCACCAAAACAGGGGGTTGCCTCCACATGGGGAAGATGATCCTATATGTCGGTGTTGGTGGTAATATTTCGGCCACCTTGAAAGCCATAGTATTACCACCATCGCCGAAATCGGGATATTCTTCCTTCGGTGGAAACACACCACCGAAATTGGTGTTGGTGTTAACCTCTAGGCCTGCGACCTCTACCAGGCAAAACCTGCTGCGCATCCGCCCTCGGCTGCAGAGCCAGCCGAAATCTGTGTCCCAGAGCTCGGCTCCGAAAAGCAAGTACCTGTCCCGGCCGCGTGGCTGACAGCCTGTTTTCCCAGATTGTACGCAGGCTCCCGTGAAACAGAAGACGAGGAGGAGAAATAGTGTCATCAGTGTCGTAGATCCAAGAAGTGAGCGGCGAGCGAGGCTCAACCGTCACCCTCGGCCTCCCAGACAGGAGGAAGGGGCCCGCAGGCGCCAGCGCAGACCGTCACGGGAAAGGCAAATACATCGTCGCTCAGCGACTCGCTGCCCGCCCGAGACGGCGTGGTGCGTAGGGGAACAGCCGGTTCACCGCGTCACCGCGCAGTACTTCCCGACCGTCACCCCTGTCGAATGGGATGGCATGTGCAACTGGGTTTGCGCCCCAGGGTGAGCGGACACAAGGTCCCAAGGGACTTACGGACCACATGGCCCCGCCTCTCAACCAAATGCACACTCCCCGTGCCTGGTACCCATCTCCAGGTCACGGGCGCAGCTAACGCGCCGCTGCCACGGGCAAAGTGCCACGTGGCTGGTGCAAGAGCGACGAAAACCGATTTATCTGCCCCCAGCCGCCGCATACAATTGACACTGACAGTGTGCCCCGAGGACTGTGTGGCGCTGACGCCATGAGAACAGGTGCCAGGCCATCACCCTCGGGGCAAGAGGACGAGGAAGAGAAGGAAGGGGAGGAGGAGGAGGAGGAAAAGGAGAGAGCCGCAACAGGGACCAGCCTCAAATCTAGGATAGGCTGGTACGCCCGAGCTCGAACTGATCTCTGCCGCAGGCGCAGACTGGTACGGGCCTATCGATACGAATTCCCACACTGAACGTATCTGCCAAGACAGGCCAATGCTGCGCTCAAAACTCGATGGCGCTTGTGGTCCATCCAAAAAACCAAAATCCCAAAAACGAAAACTGGTCCTGCCCACGCTCTCGGGATTCCCCCGCGAGCGCAGCTCTGGTCGGAGCGAATCAAGCATAGGTATCACGATGCCGGAAGAAGGAGAAGCGGCAGCGGCGGCAGAGGAGACGAGAAGAAACCTAAGACCAGCCATGTGTTCACAGCCAGGCGGCTATTCGCAGTGGCGGTCAAACGAAACAGCACACTAACGAAAGTACGGCAAGCATGGAAGAATTGGAGTACGCGGCACGAGCGCGCCGCGGGGAGGGGAGGACCACCCATCGCCCGGCATGCAAACCTGGCGCACCGTGCAGCGCAAGCGGGTCCCTGAGCGGAAAAAAAACACCTTGAAAACCATAGTATTACCACCATCATCGAAATCGGGATCTTCTTCCTTCGGTGGAGGCACACCACCGAAATTGGTGTTGGTGTTAACCTCTAGGCCTGCGACCTCTACCAGGCAAAACCTGCTGCGCATCCGCCCTCGGCTGCAGAGCCAGCCGAAATCTGTGTCCCAGAGCTCGGCTCCGAAAAGCAAGTACCTGTCCCGGCCGCGTGGCGGACAGCCTGTTTTCCCAGATTGTACGCAGGCTCCCGTGAAACAGAAGACGAGGAGAAATACTGTCATCAGTGTCGTAGATCCAAGAAGTGAGCGGCGAGCGAGGCTCAACCGTCACCCTCGGCCTCCCAGACAGGAGGAAGGGGCCCGCAGGCGCCAGCGCAGACCGTCACGGGAAAGGCAAATACATCGTCGCTCAGCGACTCGCTGCCCGCCCGAGACGGCGTGGTGCGTAGGGGAACAGCCGGTTCACCGCGTCACCGCGCAGTACTTCCCGACCGTCACCCCTGTCGAATTGGATGGCATGTGCAACTGGGTTTGCGCCCCAGGGTGAGCGGACACATGGTCCCAAGGGACTTACGGACCACATGGCCCCGTCTCTCAACCAAATGCACACTCCCCGTGCCTGGTACCCATCTCCAGGTCCCGGGTGCAGCTAACGCGCCGCTGCCACGGGCAAAGTGCCACGTGGCTGGTGCAAGAGCGACGAAAACCGATTTATCTGCCCCCAGCCGCCGCATACAATTGACACTGACAGTGTGCCCCGAGGACTGTGTGGCGCTGACGCCATGAGAACAGGTGCCAGGCCATCACCCTCGGGGCAAGAGGAGGAGGAAGAAAAGGAGGAGGAGGAGGAGGAGGAGGAGGAGGAGGAGGAGAAGGAGAGAACCGCAACAGGGACCAGCCTCAAATCTAGGATAGGCTGGTACGCCCGAGCTCGAGCTGATCTCTGCCGCAGGCGCAGACTGGTACGGGCCTATCGATACGAATTCCCACACTGAACGTATCTGCCAAGACAGGCCAATGCTGCGCTCAAAACTCGATGGCGCTTGTGGTCCATCCAAAAAACCAAAACCCAAAAAACGAAAACTGGTCCTGCCCACGCTGTCGGGATTCCCCCGCGAGCGCAACTCTGGTCGGAGCGAATCAAGCATAGGTATCACGATGCTGGAAGAAGGAGAAGCGGCAGCGGCGGCAGAGGAGGCGAGAAGAAACCTAAGACCAGCCATGTGTTCACAGCCAGGCGGCTATTCGCAGTGGCGGTCAAACGAAACAGCACACGAACGAAAGCACGGCAAGCATGGAAGAATTGGAGTACCCGGCTCGAGCGCGCCGCGGGGAGGGGAGGACCACCCATCGCCCGGCATGCAAACCTGGCGCACCGTGCAGCGCAAGCGGGTCCCCGAGCGGAAAAAAACAAACACTAAGACAGCAGCATAGCACAAAGAGCAAAACACGCATGCACACCGGACAGAAACGGAGAGGAGAGGGAGGAGGAGGACGGAGGGGGAGGGGTGCCTTCACGGGCCCCACTGCTCGACCACGCCCTGCATGGTGCTGCGCGTGGAGGTCGGAATTGTGATTGTACTCGGCTCCGCACTGCAGGCCCCCGAGGCGCCCTGCTCGTGCCACCCCAGTAAATCATGGCTGTGATGAGGCTGCTCGAACTCCAGCGTCGATATGTGATGCTCGTCGCGCCGCTCGTGGCACTGGCTCCTGTATACCAGAGTCCACCTGGGTCTGTGCCGGTGTCGTGTCGGGCCGCGAATCGTGACCGGCGTCGGACTGTCGGCACAGGCGCTGTATGCCGTGCAGCTCCGGGCTGGACTGCTCGATCGCGTCGCCATCCGACGAGTGGATGTCGAATTCGTGCTGCTGCTCCTCGCCGTGATACTCAACAATGCGTGGCGAGCACCTGTCGTACCGCCGAGGGCCCGAATGCGAGATGGAGTAACCGTTGAACGAATGTATAACAGAGTCGCATTGCTCCTCGTCGGCGTCCTGCTGTCTGTCGCGCGCCTGTCACCCGAGGGAGGGTATATATATGTATATTTATATATGTAATATATATATATATATATATATTGTAATCAGGGTGCGCGCTTATCCGCAGAATTTCGGCCACGTTCGTGGGACGGCCTTGTTCGTCGGTGCTGGCGACGGCGCTGGCGAAGGAGCTGGTTTCGGAACGGGGGTTGGGAGTGACGTTGGTGACGGCATCGGTGCTGGAGACGGTGCTGCAGGTGTAGGCGCCGTCGTCAGTGTCTGGGGTCGGCGCCGACGTCGGTGTCGGCGACAGTGCTAGCGGTGGTGCTGTCGCAGGCGCCGGCGTCGGTGCTTGTGTCGGTGCCACCGTCAGTGTCGGCGTCGGCGCTGGCGGCGGCGCTGGCGTAGGAGCCGTCGTCGGTGACGGGGTCGGCGCCGACGTCGGTATCATCGTCAGTGCCGGCGACGGTGCAAGCGTGGGCGCCGGCGTCGGTGCCGGCCTCGGTGTCGATGTCAGTGTCGGCATCTGCACTGGCAACGGCGCTGGCGCAGGAACCGTCGTCGGAGTCGGGGTCGGCGCCGACGTCGGTCTCGGGTTCAGTGCTGGCGACGGCGCTGGCGTAGGCGCCGGCGTCGGTGCCCGGGCGGGCGCCGACGTTGGGAACGGCGTCGCGTCGGTGCGGGCGACGAGGTCGTATCGGAAGTATGGGCTGAAGACGTAGCCAACGCAGGAGTCGGATATAGCGGCGAATGAAATATAGGAGAACAGCATCGTGTAGGAGAAGAACATGGTCGACGGCGAGGGCAGCGGGGTCGCATCGAAATGCGCGGTATGAAAGCGCAGCCATAGCAGGAGTCGGTTATCGGTGAAGAACATGGAGCGATAAAGGAGAGCAACATGGTGTAGGATAGCAACATCGTGGATTGGAAAGCTGATCGCGCAGAGACCCGAGTCAACGTTAGACGGCGAACTCATTAACAGAGCATCTGTCGTCTCTGTGAGACTCGAAGTCGATGTGGGGCGCATTCCGAGGAGAAGGGCTAGGCGACAAGGAAAGATGCGTCAATTAGGGCGTCGCCGTATTCGCCAGGTCGGGCCCACAGAAGCCGCCTCTCGTGGTCGTCCAACTGGATGGGCGCCACCGTTGTCTTGACATACCTGTCTGAGCTAGGCGTGCCCCCGGCAGGCCGCGTGCAAGAACTGGCTCATGAGCTGCGCAAGGTATGACGATCGCACCTCGGCATCCGCGCACTGTCGGCGTGGCGTCGCATGTGGTTGACCGCGCGGCGCAGCGCGCGCCCTGTAGTCCATGTCGATCCCCAAGACGGCGTGAGCCAAGCCGTACTGGGCGACGACACGTCCAAGACGTGTCCGCTGCCAGTCGAGCCACGCTGGTCGCTGGAAGTAGTGGTCCAACGAATCGCACGCTGTGCTGCTGCGCCCTAGCGCGCAAGGTCGCTGGTGCACCCGTAAGCTGCGCATGCGCCGGTCGGTGCGCAAAGCCTGGTTGGGACTAGGCGACGCAGTCGATCCAGCTGGCGCGCAACCCGCCCCACAGTCCTGCCAATGTAGTCTGGGAGACGCCATCTTGCAAATCGTGTTCGTTGACGTCTTTCCACGTAATTGCGATTTTGCGCGAGGAGGCGTTTGGACATCCATTGTTGAACCCCCTTCTTGAAGCGTTGTGCTGCCTGGCGAATGAGGAGCGCAATGGCAGTCCCAGCAAGCACAGCTCTCGAAACTTGAAGATGCACCCCGGCCGCGGCCCGCGCATCGACCAAATTTACGACCGCTGTCGGAGTGTGCTGCGCAAGCCAAGGAAGGCAACGTCTGCTGAGGGTCAATCGATCAGTAAGGCACCGCGCATTTGCAAGTTCTCGTGACAGGTGGCCGCAAGACATGCCGCCTAAGCTGTGCG